ACGCCCGGTCCCCTCCCCGCCGCCGACGCACAAACATCCTCGGCCGTTCTGCGGCCGTCGCTGCGTCCAACGACGTCTTGCATTCTTCCCTTCGTTCTTTTTAATCTGCCCTCGCGCAGGCGCATCGCTTAATTAATTTGAAAGACCTTCGACGAAACGACACCGCGCCTATCTCGCCGTTTTATTCTCGTCGCGTTGCACGCCGACGTAGCCCGCGAATGACACAATTTATGGCGAAGCGTAAATCCCGCGCGCATCGCTCGTTTTCCCTGTCGCGGAGAGAGGCGCGTACCCGGCGTCACGTCACGCCCGTTTCGTTCGTCTCCCGAGCGGGTACGCGTCCCCTATATTATCGCGTTTATCGGCCATCAAATCGTCCCTCGTGCGCGCCGGCTACGAGGCGGCCAGGCAAAAATTACGGCTGATCCGGCTCGCGGGATTGCCGGCCGGGGCGCGCGGGACACGGGAACGAGGATGGCCGCGACTTTGTGCGACTCTGTTGCGCCGGATTGTCGATTACCCCGCCGCGTGTTACTTGATCGACCGTATTATCGTCGCCGGCGCTGTCGCCCGCGGCCGCGCGACGGACAGATCATCGAAAATAGGGAAAAACGAGAGAAGGGAATCTCGGAGTCGCGCGACCTTCGCCGTCCCGGCGTATCATTATCAGGAGGCAGAAGCCGTCAAGGACTTCTCATCCCCATTAACAATCCCCTTGACATCTTCCTCTCCGAAAGAATACGGCTCGCCGCGCCGCACCGCGCCGCGCCGTTCCCTTCACCGGCGGGTTCGAGCGAAATCTTCGATCGTGGAAGAAGATTAGTTCGTATCCGAGGCAAGTCTTAATTTCCCGCCACTAAAAGATACACGGTCCCAAGGTTCGAGCACCGGGGGGACTGGTAACGTTCGTCCTATGGACTTACGTCAGGACTTTACGCGATGCCCATCGACGAGACCGCGAGATCGTTTATCATCCGCGCGAGGCATCGCTCGACGCGGCCTGTTGCGTATGCATCAGCTAGCATCCGAGAGGCGGCCCCGCACCGTTAGCTTTTTACGCTTTTAATTACCTAGCGCGCCGATGCTGCGGAAAGGTGTTTCATCCGAGATTTCCCATTGGTCCCCGATGAGAAACCCGATGTCGAGAGCTTGAAAGTTAGAGGACGACGGGGTAAAGGGGACGCCACTCGAAAATGTCTTTATAAGAAGTCCGCCCGAGGGCCTCGCTCGAGGGGGCACAATGTAACCGAATCAATTAGACGTTAAAGTATTAGCACGCATCCGCAAAGAGTCTACCTCTCTTCCTTCCCTCTGCCTTTCACGAAATTATCTGGCAGCCCCTGCGGGCGAAGCGCATATTACCGCCGCACGACCGGTGCACCTCGTAAATCACTCGTCGTTCCGCAACACACACGCCACGCCGCAGAAGAGAAACAATGAGCGGTTGCTCCACCGCAGATACATTCGCACGCAGGTGCGTACGAACCCGAGGGTTCTTGATTCCCTTGCGCAAGCAATCGCGAATAGTCTCGCCGGCTATCCTCAATTTTACTCTCCTCCGATCCCGGTCGAATGAGATTCCCGGCGGCGCGTTCCGAGCAGACAACCTATCCGAGTGACCTTTCGCTTCCGACGCGGCCCGGAAAAATCGGATCTTTGCGAAACTGCGGACGATTTCTCGGCGTGCCGTTTCGAGGATGAGGTAAACGACGGTAAACGATTCTTTTGAAACGTTCCAAGCGAGACGAGCGACTCGGTTTTTCCAGGATTAATACCTTCGACTCGACGCAGACACGTTCGAGTCTGAAATTCACTTGTCGTTTAAATGGACATTCGAATAGAAACGCTTCGAACGAAAACCGCTTTCTAATTTCCACGCGATTCTCGAAAGATCAGAGAAAGATCAATCTGCAATTGAAAATTGCAACGAGATACGCGCGGCCAACAAAGCGATAGGAACTGCGCGCGGCACGGGGAGCTGATATGACCGGGTACCGGAGTGCCGCGGACACCCACGTGTGACAAGGCATCGCATAATCTACCGGACATTTAGCGTAGGCTGGATACTAGCCGCGGTGGCTACAGGTGGCTTCGATAGGCAGGTGAAATTTCATAGCGAGTAACGCGATTAAACGCGGCGGTCCGCGCCGAAGAAAAGTTTCAATTACGCCGCCCCCCGGGGAAAGCATAGAGAATCGGAGTGACCGGCAGGGAATTACGGGAACCGCTCCAACGATCCGACTCGCGGCGCGCATCGCGAGATTTTTGAAAGTATCGCTGTCCAGTCCCGTCACAAACGAGCAACTAACTTAGCAATGGCTTTAACATTGCGCAAACCGACATTAGGATTCTCCCAGTCGATTTCATCCGCGCGAAACTCAATCCGCATCCAATCAACTATTCCCGCGATTCTAACTTAACATCGACGTTTCGATTGATCGATCGATTTCGAGGTTCCAATCAAGTAAGAACTCAGATACTCGCAGAGATTGCGATCAAATTTCCTCGCCTCGCGAGAAACTTCGCGACGAACAAAGATCGCCGAGCGTAGAAACGCGACGGAACAGAATCCTTCGATCTGTTTCTGCCCTCGCGCCGTTCGCACTTTAAACGATGCAATATAGTTGACGATGCAATCGCGAGGGCAATTTCCTTTTGTCTCGGTTGAACGTTCCGTTTGCTTTCGAGATTAAAGCTGGACAATTACGAGCGAACCCGGATACTTCAGCCGGTAACGAAGTAACGAGATCGCCGACGAATTCGCGCAGGAAACGGAGCCGTCCATTAAGCCGCGTATCCACGTCGGAACCGTATTTACCGAGGGACCGATCCTCGGATGGGGGTAGACGGGACGACTGACTCTTCTTCCGAGCCTAGGCTGCGTGACTTACAAGCCCCGAGTCTATATTTCAACGGGCGTTAAAGTCGAGGTCGATTCCATCCGGAGCCGGGAAGCTCGGTTCGAAGCTCCGATCATTACGCCCGTTATAAGCTGTCACATAGCTCATCTCACGCACAAGGCAACACCACCAGACGCGACCGACGCTTTTGCCACTTTTTTTTCCTTTCCTCTCTTTCCTCCTCTATTTTGCAATCAGCCCCGCATCGCGCCACGATGGGCCCAAGTTAAGCGAGAATCGCTTTCGATCCTCCTCAACCTGTTAAGGACCTTTTACGGCCCGGCTTCCACACTCTTTGGAGTGTAAATCGTTTTCTAGTATTAGCGCTCGGTCGGCTATCCCCTCCTCGCGAGAGACAGAGTGCGAGCCAGCGACGGAACGTTCGGATCGATTTCGAGAGTCTCGATGAAAATTGGTTGGTCGATTGAAGAGAGACCTGACGCGTTGAATGGTAAAGGAATATTCGACGTGATCCGATTAATAAGTAGCTAAACATGATTATCCGATGAATAGAAAGTAACTATCTGTAGATGAACAGCCTAATGCCTTAAATGGAATACATCTTTCTTAACCCCTTGATCTACAATATAGTGTAGGACTCGTGACAGAAGTTTCAGACTGGATTCCGGAAACGAAGTGTGATTTATTTGTTTGACATGTAAATGAAGTATTACCTTTCTATTATCCATCGTTAACCTTTGGAGTAAACGTAGGCATAGTAAGCATCGAAGTTTGTTCTTTTCCTAATAGATTAATAATGATAGAGTATTGCATCGATCATGGCTAAGAAATAAATCATAGGGCAAGGGTTTAACGAAATAAAGTGAAATATAATAATGTTATGTTAGATATTTCATAGATCTTTTAAATAGAACTCCTGGCGAACAAACAGTAAAATTATATCCAAACGTAAGGTCACGTAATTTCTTCGTAATCACCGAAGACACGATCGCGATGGAAATTCAATGCCGATCCGAAACCCAGTGTCTTCGACTGGCGATCGCCTCGAGTGTCGTCGTCGAATGATCACGTTCTCAACGATTGGAACGAAACTATCGAGAACCGCGTAAGTAACGTTCCATTGAACGCGGTTGATCGGCAGGTGATCAAGGGATCGACGTGCTTTTGTCCGTTCTCGCGGCGGCGGGAACTTTAAAGGTTAACCGAAGATGATGTTCCCCGTACACCATTGCGTCACCGGCACCCGCGAGCTACGGCACTTTCACTCGGCACGAACAGACGTCCCGTGGAAGAGAGTAAAAAGCCACGGCAACGGTTGCGGCCAACCGCGGCTAAGGTCGATCGACTTCGATTTCCCGGCTCGCCTCGATCCCTACGGACGAATGCGTCCGGGAAAAGGCGGCCCGCCAGGAAAACCTCAACGATTCAGCGTAATTGGAATCCGGGATGCGGTTCGATCGCCGATTAGACGCCGAAGATGTTTCCGATAAACGAGCTCTACGCTCCGCGATGCATGTACGGACAATTTCGCCGTAGATTAGCGGCAAAAGTGAAAATTATTATGGCTATCAGAGCTAAGCACCAGGCAGGTACACGCGTGTATCGTGTGTTCCTGAAATTGTAGTACGATCGGGGGAGAAAGTGAATTTACCTGTGAAAATGAGCCAAAAACGTCGAACAAAATCTTCTAATGGGAGACTTCATTTCCTTGATACACGAAGTCGAAAGTTAATGCGACGCACGTTCGTTGATGCTTGTAAGAAATGATGGATCACTAATGCATTAGTCAATTTCTATTAAATAGCACAAGTGTCCAATCTATCAAACGCGATTACTTCAAGCATTAAGTATTATACAAAAATACGTTATTCTATATTCTCTGCTCAGTTTTTCAGAGTAATTCTGTTCCCAGTGGGACCATGACTTCGGCGACACCCCGTATACGAGTGCATCATCTTTTCCTTGGTGGATGGTATCAATTTCTGTATCGATCTCGCTCAATATCGCGACGGATCCGCGAGGAACGGATTTCCACGGGCCGGATGCTTCTTCTAAGCGGGCATGGTTAATCGGCCGAGTAATCCTATCGATTACAACGTAATATCTTGTCTCTATTTCATGTAGCCATTAATAACTCACCGGTAGAAGAAGCAACGTGGACGGCGAGTGCCTGGCAGCGGCCTGCCTCAGAGCGAGGAAGTGCAGTAGGGGGTCCTCGGCCGTTCTCAGCTCGTCCAGAATCCGCTTGGCCTCTCCGTAGCTTTCCAGGTATTCCCAGTAAGAGTTCCAAAACGAGCCGGGGAATAAGTCACCTGCCGACAGCGCGCAACCACCGACAACCAATTAACCAACTGCGAATGGAACCGTATCTCGACCGACCAATCACATTCTTTCTTTCTTTCCTTCTTCCACCCTTTAATCCTATCTCTAAAATCGTCGCTCGAGGCTATTCAGATTTAAAGAAAGATTCTGCTCCTTTCTTCGGAAATGTAAGCTAACACGACGACTGTCGTGACCAACGACCACCGAAACTTCTGAATTGCCTGAGAGCAATTGGAATAAAGATATTTAGTAACGCAAGTAATTAGGTAATAGCGTAATCGTATTATCAATCATCATCTCGATAATAATGTGCCTATATTATCAATAATTATTTCTATTGTGGAAATCAACTCGAGAGCTGTGTACACAGCGGTCTCTATATACGAAAATGCAACAAAAGAGAACATCTTATTTATTAAACAATATTAACAACACAACTCAGTATAACGTCGCGATTCCAAAATTGCCAATGGCGTCTTAATCAATAGTCCTGTGGCATTGCATACACTAGATTATTTTGAAATGTACCACTCTATTAAAATTATTAATAAACAAAACTAGTCTACGTATCTGCCTAAAATATGTAAAAACATAATTCCTCGCGCAAGACTTCGCCAAATCTCTAAATTGACTCCCAACGCAAGAGGTTAACAGAACCTGAAGCGTCTCATTCAATTCTGTCTGTTCTATCGAGAAAGCAAAGACAATCGCGATAAAGACGCGAATGTTCGAATATTCTGCGCATAAAGCAAAGGACGGAATCGGAGAAAATCCGTCCGCGATGATGGAACACGCGTCCGAAATCGTGTTCGAGAGATTCGATCCGGCGATACGTCATCCCGCTATCTCTTCTCTACGAAAACTCGTTTCTGCCCGTGGATCGAGGCTCCTCTCTCGGTTTCTCTCTCTTTTCCGCCGGTTCCTCTCGTCCGGTGGGGTCCCGGGCATCACGGAAGAGGAGAGCCTTCCTCCACGGACCACGCTCACGCACCGGGAATATGATTTACCATCGAATCTCTCGTTTTTTCCCCCGTCCCCACCCTCGCCGCGGTCCCGGGCCCAGCCACGGCCGACTCCATTATCGGCTCGCGTCCGTCGTAGACTTCCTCGTGCAGTAAACCACGAATTCATTACGACCCGTGTCGAATTTACGGGAGACGAGGGCTTGGGAAAAAGAAATTTTGATGAACGTCGGCGACGATCCTGCTCCGTTGCCAATTTAATCGTTCGACATTCGGTTTTCTACTTGCCTCGATCTATCGTGGAAAATTAACCCTTAACTACCGAGAAAAGAACATGCACTATAAAAATTGTTTGTCCATGAGACCAATACGCACTTTAGGATGCATTGGAAGCATAGTTTAAAAAATGAGTTTATTTTTAGTTTCGAACTTTATGGCGATCTTGAATATATCTCGGTTATCAATTACAGTAGGAAGACGAGTCGGCGATAGTGATTCTAATCAGACTGATTCATTGAATTCCTCGAAGCATCTTTCATTGGTAAATTCTTTCGTTTTGGGCTAGCATCGATAGTTAAGTGTTAAGGGTGTCGTTCGTTGAGAAAGTCACAGTGCAAACATTTGAATGCATTCGATCCCCGGGGATTTAACGTTTTGCGTCGCGTACTCACCCGACTTGAAGGTATTTGCGTCCCAATTCTCGAGCATCCTGCGGGTCTGAAAAGAAACAGAACGGGTGCGGTAGAATTGGCTCTTAAAATACAATGAACAAGATACGAGGATGTAGGGGTGGGGGTCATGTATAATACATGAAGCGTAATACGAGAATGAGTTGAGTCAGAGGGTTGTACACGCCAGCTTCGTATGACAGTCGATTTAAAAAACAATCGTTCGCGTTTTCTCTTTCTTCCATGCGATAGGGATCGATTCTGCTCATCAGAAAATTAACCAGATAAATCGTTATCATCGTCACATAATGCTTGTTATGCGATTCAGAGCACAAACGTTATTCACGATCATAATAAAGAGAAAACGAGGAAAGATCCAGAGAGAAGGTAAAGAAAAATAAAATGTATACTACAAGAAATTACGTAGAAGATCGCAAAATGTAAGAAACAAGCGTAACAGTATTAAGTTAATCGAGGCCGCTGAAGAAGGATCAAGAGTGCCGCCTCAGGATAAAGGTCTTCGCGACACGTTTAAATAAGGGAAACGATGTTCGCAGAGAAACAGGACGGATGAACAGATGGTGAATTAGCGGATGGAAAGAACCTCGCGCGATTCTTCGGATCGATCGAAATCGCGGAATGGTTTCCTTATCGGCCGGTGATTATCGTCGCGTGTCTGAAAAACTAGTCGCTTTAACGACGTTTAGAAGGAACATAGGAGATCGGAGCGGAAAACGCGGCTGTTCAACTTCAAGTACGAACGGACGGATTCGAGCATCGCAGTCAGGATGCGAAAACGATTCCTCGGGCGACATCGCGACGTGATACACCAACGTGGTTCGACAATCCGAGGCGAACACGTGACCGTTCGAAGCTAAATCACGTCCTCGAAACGAGCATACATTTTGTCCGTTGAATTATGACGCAGCATTATGTCCAATCAGGACATCATCGAGGGGAACGTATCCGACGTGAATAAGCTCCGGTAGTCCTTAATGCTCTTTCCATCGGCGAGCATTAAGGCGTTGCTCGCAGGCGGCGAAATCTGCTTCGAATAATAGATAACGAGACCGGACCAGTCGGACGATAATCCATCGATCGCGATTCAGTCGACGTTTCCGCGCCAGAAATTCGATCGGAACCAGCTTTCGACCGACGTGTAATCTTCCGATTACGCTGCCCGAGTCCTTGCGTCGTTTCAATTAATCTGCATGATTTTTTAGAACGCTGACGAACGATGTTTGTAGGATACCGAGGGAAAAGGAACATTGAAATCCGAGTCATCCGCCACATAGCAATTCACAAAATAAGAAGCATCACTCTTAATTCGAAAATATTCCAAAATCAGTTTAACTTCTCAACCTTCGACATCAATCACACTCGAATGCCCGGTTTCAAAATTTCAGCTCTAGAATTGGTTGAGAATTCTACGTTTCCTTTCTTCCATCCACCTTCATATCAATTCCTACACTGTTCGATTGATCACTCCAATCCCCGTCCTCCCTTTAGTTCTTTTTCTCTCGCGAAGAGAAACCGATCGCCTAACTCGTTCACGTTCATTCTGTAGTCAGAAGTTCGACTGGTTACGGCAGGATCAGGTACAAGCAAAGTGGCCGGTGCGTTAATTCATACGTGAAGCAGCAAGTCACTGAATCTCGCGACGTTGTGTTCAGCGCACGGGTGAAAAGCAAGCGAACACGGGTCGGCCGAGCATCAAGCGACGCGACGGTGTCGCGACCGGGGACGTATCGGGGATTAGTTCGCCGAGCCGACTCTCGATTAACTCTCTAACGAGTGAACATTATACAGGAGATCCCTGCTTAACGGTTACACACATCCATTTCGATAAGTAAATCAATACCAATTATACAGTACACGCGTCGGGAGGCACGCGAGTAGCCGGCTCATCCGCTCGGCCGGCCATCGAGGCTAGCCTGTGTCGCGTTAATCGGTGTGTTAATGTTTAATTTCAACGCGGCTATAAAGACAGGAGAAAGTTGCGTAAACATAAAGCTTGGCCTGTTGGCGAACAGGGCAAACGGACGGCCGAGCGGGGCGGGCGATCGCCGTGAAACACGAATTTGCATTTCGTTCCACGCGCGGCCCGCCATGAAAAATCCTCTCCCGTCTGCCCGCGCGGATCACGCTGCGCACCGCGCCGCGCCGGTGATCATCGGCGATCCACGGTTAATTGCCTACCAGCCACGAATACACGTATCTATCATGGCCAGCGTATAATCACAATAAAACTGGTCGCCTCTGTGCGCGTCCCGGCCGCTAACGATCAATTTGTTGCACTGTAATTGCCGCGTTTCGCGCGAGGCCGGCGAACCGATCGCTAACCGGACTCGCTCGATTTAGGCTAGCCGCGCAGGGTTGGTTCTTTTGGAAAAATACGGACGTGAAGTTCGGTTGTCTTTCTTTTTGCGAGACAGCATGCATTAAGCTGTCCCGTAAGTTTCATTCGTGCTCCGCCAGCGATTGTTACTGTTGCAGACATGTTGGAAACACGTTACAAAGAGTCGGAGTGAATGAAAGAAGGTAGTCGGTTAGAATAGATTGCGAGCGGTTCGATAACACGGCGTGAAACGTGAACCATAACATCGAGAACCATCCGAAAGCGATCTACGTGTGGTCCGAGCGTAGGCGCGGAGAAAACGAAAACGAAAGAATCCGAGTGGAACCTAGATCCACGTGCGGGTCATCAACCTTCTCTTATCCGAACCGTAAAGAGCCGACCTGGAATTACGAGCAGCCGACTCGTAAACCACGCGATAAGGCATCTCGGAACGGGCGCGGCGAGCGGTGCGCTGGGAATCATTCCCCGGGAATTATGTATTTCATCGTTTACGAATCGCTGCTTAATTAAAGTGCAACGGCCGGGGAGAAAGCGGTTAGAAAAATTCGTTTGAAAAGTCTGCTGGCGATCGCAGAATCGCGATGAGATATTTTTTAGAAAGTTCCCGACACTACCGTGCGTTCGTTGACACGTTCATTGCCACGGTCGAGGATGCTTCCAAATTCCTTCGAAACGATTGCGATAAAATGACTGATAACGAATGAAAATATTCGACAACGTAAGCCACTAGATAACAGTGCAACGCAAAATCTACTCATAATAATTCATTAACAATTAATCCTACCACTATTTGTCTGCGTGTTACGAAAGAATGAGCGATACTATACGAAACGCTGAAAATTCTCGCGGCAGTCAACGTATTAATCGACTGTGATCCGATCGCGTGGGCGACGACGGTGAATCGTCGATCTGGACCGAGTGTCGATAGGAATTCTCGCAGGTATCGTTCGAGTTTCGACGAGCGACGCGATACGACTCGATCCCTGGCGAACGGAATAAAAAAAGAGGAATGGAAAGGAGCAAAAATAGAAAAAGCTCGCGTAGCAGTCGGCGCGACGCGCGTTGCATTGTCACGTAGATACCAAGCTCGTTCGTTGTGTTCCATCGGCGCAGGCGTTACGACGCGTCGGCGTGTCGATGCGTTCCTTATTGTCAGATACGTATCTATGTTAAGCGCGAGGCACGTTGCGTGCGTGCGCCCATGCATTTATGCATCGCATTATGCTGCCCGTCGATCCGAGGCGAGGTGAGTCGAGCCGAGCCGAGCCGAGCTCACTCCGTGACCCATTCATTGCTGGCTGAAGCGTTATCCTCGAAAATCCAATCGTCGATTAATTATGAATTATTCATATTCATGAGCCGGGCAGCAGAGGCGTCTCTCGCGAATCGATTTAAACCGTCAGAAAAATCTATTCCGCCTTCGTTATTAGTCGACGTCACGCGTATCATGGATCGGGTTACCTGGCCGTGTTTTCCAATATTCGCAAGAAATAAAAAGTGCACCCTGCTACCCGTGTTCGCCGACCGAATAATAATGCATAGCCAGTCTTTGAACGGAGTGGAACAGCTCGCGCTCCCGAGCGAGCGAGCGAGCGTGTATCTAGGCCTCGCCCGCCGCGAATAGCGATAGATGATCGCCGCGATCCACGGGTGGAAGCTCGATCGCGGCGATTATCTCGGAGCCCACGGCTCGGGGATTCTCTCTCGTGACCAATTTTTCGCCGCGCTCGCTCCCTTTCTCCGGCGATCGCAGACGCGCATCCTCTCTCGGAGGCGGTTTTAATTACACGTCGCGCGAGCACGATCTTCCCCCGTTCTTTCAGCCTGCATCTGTCGGCTGTGTTTTCTTCCCTGTCCGGCGACGAATACGCGGAGAAGCGAAGAAAGAGAGAGAGAGAGAGAGAGAAAAACAGGGAGAGAAAGAAAAAGAGAACGCGCGGGGCGTTCCCAAAAAAACAGGTCGGACCACGTGTTATTAGGGTCTATGCGTGGGCGTAGCAACAGCCTACCATTATTATTTTATAGTCCACGGACGATCTCTATAAAGACTTTTTTCTTGTGGGAGATTGACGATCGATAAACGAGATCCCGGGATGCACCTGCGCCGCCGCGTGACCATAATCTCTGCCTCGGTCTCGTTCGCTTCTCCCTCCCTCTTTTTCTCTCCTTTATCTCGCGATCCCTTCTCCCGGAGCCTAGGACGATATTCAAATACACTTTTCCATTCTCATTTATGTAAATTACGTTTTTCATTCGGCGCTCCCATTTTCACCGAGCACCCCATAAACAATTACACGCCGCGCGATCATTAAATCGATAAACGCCCGACCTTCTTTCCATTTTTTCTCTACGTCCACCCCCTCCGTGCCGGTCTCCCCCGGTGATTATTAATGCAACACGAACGATGAAAGGACCGCGGATTTGTAATTAGGTTACTACGACGATTTTTAGCCCGCCCTTGATTACCACCTGCCCCGTTTATCGTCCCGCACCGTCTCGATGGGTTCGTTTCGCTACACGGTGACGATCGATAACGCTCGGTCCGGTCCACCGTTAATAGTCCCATAACACCCGATAAACATTTCTTCATGAAAATTACTGTCAAACAATCCCCGTTCACCTTCTGGGTGCTAATTATACGGCCTCCTCCGCGCGGACCGATCGTTCCGAGTCCTGGTAATCGTTCTAAT